ACCGCCACGCCACACTACCTAATCATTCAGTGTGAAGCTGTCGAAGTGGAAACACGAACATGTTGAACAATAAAGGTGCTGTGTTCCTGATGGTAATGCTTACAACAGCCTCTTTGTTTACATTGAACAACACAGGTATTATGTTGACATGTTGTATTTACATACGTTGACTTACATACACGTATTCTTCACAATTTAAAGTCTCGTATTATACAAAAGACCAATTTCTTTGACATTTAAATAGTAGGTTTTTGTATTTAACTTTTTATAGCGGAACAGAAAGAAGAAAGGTATGTTTTTTTTTCTTCACATCTTTAACCAGGGTTGACTGGTTGTGTCTAAGAGCCCCGGGTAGTTTAAAAAATGAACCCCAACTCCAGATTAAAATTTTCAAAGTGCATCTAGGTAAAAATTTAATTTTAAAAGTTCAAGCGCTTAAAGGCCTAGTACAGCAACCTCCCTTACCACCATCCCCCAGCGCCCCCCCCCCCATCCTCCGCTCCCACCACCACCCCCCATATCTTTTCACGGGGCCCAACCTTATTTTCGTGTTCTAGTATTTTAACTTAACTATACAACTAACACATTTCTTATTGCGTAAAACACAGTTTGATTTTGTATCCTATTTGTTCTTCCTCTATTGTGTTTGAACCATCAGCGATTGCGTGGGACCTTTTGGAGACTGCACCTCAAAACGCTGTTGCGCTGGATACATCTGCTTGTAATAAAAATAATTTGTTTCTCTGTTACATTTTCTTTTATATCTAGATCTATTTCTTTTACTGCCACAACGTTAAATTAGTTCGCCGAAAAATACCTAGTTTTTTTTTCGGTATTTTCAACTTACTTCTTGTTTATTTAAACAATACATTTTGTGATCAGTATTTTTAGTAAAACGTGTTGTTTGTAGTATATTGGAGCTGTAGATAGAGTAAAATTAAGTTTTTCCGGTGTTCTATTAAAGAAAATTGGCATTGTGTTTGAACTATAATTGTACCCTATTGCGAAATTATACGCCGTCTGGAAATATTTGCTAATCTATTGTAACATAATAATTGAAAGTTTAGTAAAAGTTTCACAATCCAGCCAACAAATATTGTTCTTGATCATATTGTAGCCAGTGTCTCTTCCAGACTTTTTCTCTTGTGTGGGATGGGGGGGGGGGGGGGGGAGGGCACTTGAATTATTTTTTTTTTGGGGGGGGGGGGGGAGAAAAAAAAATTCCGTTAAAAGTATATATTTTATATATAAATTTTGTTAAGGAGGTGTGGTTAGACTTCCCTCTGGGGGGGGGGGGGGGGACAGACCCCCCCCCCGAATAGATATAGATATGTCTGGAAGAAATTCTGATTGTAGCTCAAATACTATATCAATCGACAAACATATCATACAAAAGAAATAGAGACTTACACGGCAGATAAAGATAATATATAGTTTTAAAAAGCGGGAGTAATCTCCCTTAACCATGTGGTAACTTTCACATATCACATATAAAATTCTACAACTATTACGAAAAATAACAACCTATGTATACATGCATATATAATAATAATATGTTGTTTTTTATTTATTTTTTGCTAGCTCCCCTGTTTTGGTAAATCGCAAATGTACGCCTACCCCCCTTGATGCCCCCCTTGCTGCCCCCCTTGCTGCCCCCCTTGATGCCCCCCTTGATCCGGCCGCCCCAAGTGGTAAACAAATTTATTCATAAGCTAGTTGTTAGCTAAACTACTGAATTGTTCGCAGTCAAAATTACGAAATGAATCAACATCTTGGTTTTAAATACTAATTTAATTATTTGCTATATCCTATTTGGTGCAACGAAATAGAAACTACTACTGCAACCGGTAAGAAGCGCGACAAACCTTTCCAACTGGGTGGGGGGGGGGGGGAGAGGGGGCTTTTTCACAAACAGGAAAAACTATATATTGAAAAGGAGGGTTGGGGAAATCGCAAAATTGATAGTCCATCCAGGGCCCAAATGGGTTGCTATGCCTCCGCTCTGATGACCCCCCCCCCCCCCCCAGAGCTTTATCAGCGGGAGTGTAAACTCCTGGCATGTTCAACCTAGCTGGGACGGTCTGCGTGGGGTTGGGGTCAGACAACCTTACATCATAAAAAACAACTCGCTACAGACACGCAGATGGAGAGATATACAGATAACTCGCACCTGTGAAAGAATGGATCTCCCGATGGAGAATTTATTAAGCCGGGTGGTTAAAGCCAATATGTATTGAAAACTACCAGTTTAACGAGCATTATTTCCACAATGTCCACCATCAATATTGGAGCATGGAATGTCAGCACAATGTGTGAAGCTGGAAAAGCAACCCGCGTAGCCGTATAAATAAAGAGTCGACAGTTTAACCTAACCTAACCTAATATATTACATTATTTAATCAACAAAACTCGATATTTATTAATTAAATTCATTAGATTCATTAACTAAAATAATGCCTTAATTAATTCATTTAAAACACCGTTTATTGATTATTATTTGTTTGGGTTTTTTAACCAATATGTTTCGCTTGTGTTTTATTTGATTTTATTTTTCTTCCGAATTTTTTTTTATTTCGCTGGGACTCTAGAATTTAAATGTAGATAATACAATGAATACAAACAGTGATTTATTCATATTCTCTAATGATATATATATATATATATATATATATATATATATATATATATATATATATATAACTCGCACTTACTCCTGATTTTGTTTATCTATAATAAACGGGAAACAGCTGTTTTGAAAGCTTAATATAGAATGTCAACGAAGTTTTCTTAAACGACCATAGTAATACGATATCTATGATTTCATTTTATAATATAATCAATAACCTTGCTGTTCCAGATTGAGTTAGAAAGATGTTGACATCAAGCAAGACCGCAAGCCTCTTCTATCTATTGGAGCTATTTTGATTTTATTTCTCGCATGATTTAATAAAAAAAAACATTTTGGTCTGTATTCAATGGTGATTAAAATAATAAAATAATGTACACAATTAATGTGTGTGTAATGTTTTGATTAAACTTGACTTTGCAGTTAGTAAAAAAGAGAGGATTCATTAAACCATAGACAATGAAATTACAGCAATCATTCTTGATTATGCGAATCGAAATGTGTCAAAATAGAATCTCGTAGAAAAGAAATTACACAATTCGTGAACTCCAAACAAAATATTATTAGTACTTCATAAATTCATATGCGTTTTTTTTTTTGAGAAATTGGAGATAGCGTAAATTATTACTTCAGGTAACGGAAATTACTCAATAGTAGGTTACTCACGTTATAGGCTTTTGCAAAATTGAAAGTAGAATAAGTGCCACTTCCGTTTACCAGAAATCGCTGAAAACTTGATACAGAACTACACATTTGAAATAATACTTATATATGAAATTTCATCAACCTAGCTGTAACGGTACTAAAGTTATCGTGTTCACAGCCACACATACACACATAAACACACATACACAGATACACACACCCAGACATACGGACAAGGTTGCAATATTATGTTTTTCTGACTGAGGGGGGGGGGGGTGTAAGACGTCGAGATTTGCAAAAATCTTGACTTTAGTTTTGTTATGACATCAGGTAGGTGTGGTGGCTACACAAATGAAAAGCACCTTTGGAACCTTACTGTCCATGGGGCAGGTAGAGTCCACTTGTTTTAGATACATTGCCATATATAGATATCCAGTGGTTAGCATTATGACCAGCTGCCTAGAGTGAGTCATGGACACCGTACGATCTCGAACCCGGATCCGAACTCACGACGATCGGGTTAGCAATCAAACGCTCTTCCATTCGCCCACACTGACACAGTTGTGTTTGGTGTTAATTACAAGCGACATTTGACCCGATATCGACAATGTAAAATAAATATAAAGTGCACTAGTGTAAGGCCTTGACATCGACAGAAGCTACGACCTATTACACTACATATATATTACATACTTTAAAGCATTCATTTAACTTGTATGCAGAGGCGTAGCGATGAGGGGCAGGAGGGGGCATATGGCTCCGGGCGCCTACCTTAGGGGCGCCAAAATGGGTTGAAAAAACAAATTAAAATGTCAATTTAGTTTAATTTTTGCAGATGGGGGAGGGGTGCAAATCGAAAAGTTGAGGGGGGGGGGTGCAAATCGAAAATTTTCTACCGAGGGGGGTGCCTAATTGAAAGTTTGTCCCCGAACGCCGGGAAGGGTCGGTACGCCTCTGCTTGTATGACCTGAAGGTGATATTCCTTAGAGATAAAGCAATCATTTCATCAGGTAAATTACATTAATCTTTTTATAAATGGCAAAAAATAGCTTTCTCTATCCTATCTCATCAACTGGTAGTACTATACACATTTTTGTAATACGCTTCACTAAACATTGATATGTATGACAAACATGTTTTCATATTGTAATGACAACAAGTATCGTCCAATATATAACAAACCCTGAGATCTGTACACGACAGTACCTATCTGCTTTGTACATGTCTCATGTAGACTTAGAACTAATCACAGCAAAAACGTTTGCAATGTGCCAGCAAATGTCTTTCTTCAAAAGATTGCCTAAGCTTTTTTCACCACAAAACTTCAAGAAACTTTGTATTGTGCAAGCGTAAAAATTATTTATTTTTATTACAAATTTGTAAAAATGTAACCAGTTGATCTTTAAATAAAAAAATATTTTCTTTAAATGCATCTTACTTTCCCTAATAATGAAAGATTCATGTGTATTACAATGTATTTTTCAAGAGTTGATGATTAGATTTGTAGTTCTGAAATAGGGGTCTTCCAAACATAACATAACCCAAGCAGTACGGAGAGGGGGTGGACGTGTGGCAAGCTGCCACTAATACCCAATTAGATCAACCACCAGTATAAATCAGGTTTATGTCGATTGTAATCCGTCTATTTATTTGATTTATTATAAAAACATTGCTTTTTACATTATAAATTGTACGTCCGCGTGTCACAAACAAGCGGATTATCCCCAGGATTGTTATGAAGTAAGGTTCCCTATTTTGAGAGATGTACATACACCACGTAGCATTCAGTGTGAAGCTGTTGAAGTGAAAACACAAACATGTTGAACATTAAAGTCGCTGTGTTTCTGATGGTAATGCTTGCAGTAGCCTCTACGTTACCGTTGAACAACACAGGTATTATGTTTACATGTTGTATTTATATACGTTGACTTACATATACTTATTCTTCTGGAGCTCCTTAGGACCAAAGGGCTAGAATTACAACTTGTTGAGTGAATAATCTGTTCGGCTGCTTTGTAGATTTTTCGTTCTTTATTTATTTTCTACTTCTAGCTTAGAAGTAGGACATAGTATGTTTAGATGTGGCGGTTGATTAAAAGTTGGTATATAATGAATGTATGATAGTTTGTATATACGCATGATGTATTTAATAATACAATTATCTTTGGAAATTATTGCGTGCATGTCCATTGCAGTACATGTACACCGATATGAATGTCATATAATTTCACCTAGCGATAGTTTAAGAAGTAGCGTTCATACGCTTCTTGATCTCAGCATATGTAGGGATGGTCGGGTAAGCACTGTGCCCGGCCGCCTTTATGTGGGTTGAGAACACATCCGAGCTGATAGGACTCAGGGAGGTGGTATTTTTTTAAGTCATAGTCAAGATCCAAATTCTAGACAAATTGGACTAGCAGCTAAATTCTCTGTTATTTGTCCACACTGTCCCACTGAGATATTAAAGCTACATCTACATAGATCTATTGGCTTCTCTCTCTATATATAAAGTTAAATTCAGTATGTGGCTGTCGGACGGACGGACGGACACGTGGTAACAAAGAAATATAGTAAAAAAAAAGCTCTAATTAACCGCCATAGAGTAATATATTTTTTAAGTGCTCATTATCTAAATTAATAATCTAAAAAAGTAATATTATGTTTTATGAACAAAAATGTCATTTTCCAAACTTATAACATTCATTGACGGCAAGTGCATTACACAAAAAGAAAATGTATCACCCTTTAACAATTTTTTAATTGTATCCTAAAATTAATTTCTTTAGTCTTTCAGCACTATTTATTTCCCTTGATAAATTACAAAAACACAACAAACGTGATACAAATGTTTTTTAAAAAAACTACTATTAAAGGCAAAAACTTTTACAATTTCATTGTAATTACAATTTGAAGTCTTATATTATACAAAATATTTATTTCTTTGTCATTTAAATAATAGTTGTTTTTAATTTAACTTTTTATAGCGGAACAGCCTGTGCAACGGTATGTTTTTTTTTCACATATTCTACCATGGTAAGACTGGCTGTAGGGGTAGTTTAAAAAATTGACCCCAACCCCAGATTCAAATTTTTATTGTGCTTTTTCCCAAACAGCTCATGATGATCATTCTCATGTAGATGAACATTTACCCAATTTAAATTTTAAAAGTTCATGCACTATAAGGTCAAGTACAGCATCGGTCCTTTCTTTCCCCCCCCCACCCCATCTCTTACTGGGGGCCCACCGCAGAGGAGTAGCGACCCCTCCCGGCGCCCGGGGACAAACTTTCGATTTGCACCCCCCCTCGAACTTTTCATTTGCACCCCCCCCCCCTCAAATTTTCAATTTTGCGCCCCCCCCCCCCTCCCCCCGAGGTCGGCGCCCGGGGACTTATGTCCCCCCCCCCCTCGCTACGCCTCTGGCCCACCGTTGTGTGGTCCTGTAGTCCAGCCCACCTTTATATTTAACTACATATTGTTGACCCCGTCTTGTTATAATAATTTCACTACACTACAAACAAGTTTCCTATTGCGTTAAACAAAGTTTGATATTTTATCCTATTTGTTCTTCTTCTATTGTGTTTTTAAACCATCAGAGACTGCCTGGGATTGTATAAGCCGTGTACATACAACTGTTGCGCTGAATACATCTGCAAGTAATAAAATGAATTTGTTTCTCTGTTACATTTTCTTTTATATCTATTTCTTAAACTGCCACAACGTGTTAAATGAGTTCGCGGAAAAATAACAAGTCTTTATTTTTCGTGTATTTTTAACTTATTTCTTGTTCATTCAAATGTAACACTCACTCAATGGGTATGCTTATTACCCACTGAGGTATTGTGTTTTGGAATTATAATTGTATCCTAATGGGAAATTATAGGCCTACTCCGTCTAGAAATGTTTGTTAATCTATCGTAACATAATAATTGAAGGTTTAGTAAACGTTTTACAAACTAGCTAACAAAATATTGTTTTTGATCCTTTGTAGCTCAAATACGATATGAAGCGACAAACATTATACAAAAGCAAAACAGATTTACACGGTTGACAAAAATATATAGTTTTAAAAAGCGGGCGTAATCTCCCTTAACATTGTGGTAATTTCTCACATCTATATATATAATTCTCTTCTGGGAGACGCTAGAAAACAAGCTGTAAACGCGCTCCCTACCATCCGCACCCCTACATGGTCTTAGTGAGCTGTGGTTCACGCTATGTTTACCTTCGTGGAGTCGGGTTTAGTGACGGCTAATAGGGGCAGATAATTTAGTTTGAAACGATTGTAAACGTTGGGGGGGGGGGGGAGGAAGGGGGGGGGGGGGAGGGGGTATGGTCCTTAACGAGCTACTTATAGCGTTTTAAAGAAATATTTTCAGTGTCAGCGTTGGTACTGTCGAATTCACAAATTATGAATTACTGAAAAGTAGAAAAAACAACAACTAAATAGCGGCTTATGTTATGTCGCGGGCCGGCTCGTTAAATATAAAATTCTAAAACTATTACGAAAAATAATAACCTATGTATACATATATATTTTTTTTCTAGAAACCGTTTTTATACTGGACTGAAATGTTACCCTCGGCCGCATCCACCAAACGAGGTAAAAAAAAATAATTAAAAATCTCATTTTAAGCTGAAGTATTGAATTGTTCACAGTCCACCATTGTCCATCCCAAGCAAAGTCTTCAACAGAATATTATAAAACAGGTAGAAGGAAGCGATAGACCCCCAGATTAGAAATCAACAGGCGGGCTTTAGGCAGGAAAGGTCATGCGTAGACCAAACTACTACCCTGCGGATTATCATTAAACAGACCCAAGAGTGGACCTCATTTCTCTACATTAATTTCATAGATAACGCGAAGGTCTTTGATAGCCTGGATAGAAGGTCAATGTGGAATTTGTTAATGTGCAGCAAATGCAAGATAAAACCAACAAGGTTGCTAATTTTTCTACATGTCTGGGCCTCAACATCCACAGAGGGAAAAGTAAAGTTCTCAAAGTCAATGCATCAAACAGCACCGCTATAACATTGGCAGACAAAGTTATAGAAGAAGTAGATAGATTCAACTAACTTGGGAGTATTGTTGATTATCAGACTGGGACAGATGAAAAAGTAAAAACAAGGCAAGATTAGTCTTCCACCAACTAAAAATATTTGAGTTCTGGATATTTAACCCTTGGAATACAATTGGATTACAACACACTAGTAAAACTAGTTTTACTCTATAGAGCTGAGATATGGAGAATAACTGCCACTGAATATATATAAACACATATATAAAATATATATATATATATATATGAATACATAGATGTATATGTATATATATAATGTATATATATATATATATATATATATATATATATATATATATATATATATATATATATATATATATATATATATATATATATATATATATATATATATATATATATATATATGCCCTATATATACAATCAGGCTCCCTAATAATCGCATTTGTAGTAATTATGTTCAAGTAAAATTGAAGGTAATGTAATGTATTTAAAGAAATCTGTATTGCACATAAAATAGCCCCAAATTATTTTTAGAATGCAACACTGACGACTGACAACTAACCCAAGACCCGGACCGAGGTAGATATTTTTAAATATATATATATATATATATATATATATATATATATATATATATATATATATATATATATATATATATATATATATATATATATATATATATATATATATATATATATATATATATATATTCATATTTATATTATATATATGTATAAAACTCGCACATACTCTTCTGATTTTGTTTATCTGTAATAAACGGGAAACAGCTGTTTTGAAGCCTAAATATAGAATATAAACTAAGTTTTCTTAAACTACCTAAGTAATACGATATCTATGATTTCATATTATAATATAAACAATAACCTTGCTGTTCCAGATTGAGTTAGAAAGATGTTGACATCAAGCAAGACCGCAAGCCTCTTCTATCTATTGGAGTTATTTTCATTTTATTTCTCGCATGATTTAATGAAAGAAAAAACGTGTCGGGCTGTATTCATTGGTGATTAAAATAATAAAATAATGCACAGAATTATTTTTTGTGTAATATTTTGATTACAACTTGTCTTTGCTGTTAGTGAAAAAAGTAAGGATTCTTTAAACCATAGGTAATGACATTATAGCAATGATTCTTGATTATGCGAAGCGAAATGTGTCAAAATAGAATCTCGTAGAAAAAAGCATTACGCAAAAAGTGACCTCCGAACAAAATGTGTATAATAGTGCGGATTATTAGTATTACTTTATAAATTCACATGTGTTTTTTTTTTTTTTTTAGAAATTGGAAATAAATTATTACTTCCGGTCAACGGAATTACTCAAAATTTGATAGAATGCAGAGAATTCGATCTTTTACTTGCATGTTAAATTTCATGTATCTATCTGAAATAGTACGCAACTTATAGGCTTTTGAAAAATGAAAGAAGAATAAGTGCCACTTCCCGTTACCAGAAATTGCTGAAAAGTTGAAACGGATCTACACATTTAAAATAATACTTATATATGAAATGTCATCAACCTAGCTGTTACGGTACTCAAGTTATCGTGTTCACATACACACATACAAACACACATACGCACATACACACACAGACATACGGACAAGATTGCAAAATTATGTTTTCCTGGCTCAGGGATTACAATACTTCTCTATACTTCGTATACGAGAAAGTAAAAATTGGGTGCAATGGTAATGACACCTAGTGGGTGGTTATGGCATCAAGCTATTGTACGGGGTTATGATATCACGTGGGTGTGCGTGGTTATGACATCAGGTAGGTGTGGTGGCTACACAAATGAAAAGTTTGGAACCCTACTGTCCATGGGCAGGTAGAGTAGAGTTCATCTGTTTCAGCTACATCGCTATATATAGATATCGATTGGTTAGCACTATGACCAGCTGCCTAGAGTGAGTCATGGACACCGTACGATCTCGAACCCGGATCCGAACTCACGACGATCGGGTTAGCAATCAAACGCTCATCCATTCAACCACGCTGACACAGTTGTGTTTGGTGTTAATTACAACCAACTTTTGACCCGATATCGACAATGTAAAATAAATATAAAGTGCACTAGTGTAAGGCCTTGACATCGACAGAAGCTACGACCTATTACACTAGATATACCACATACTTTAAAGTCGTGTCCGCATTCATTAAACTTGTATGACGCAAAGGCTATATTCTTTAGAGATAAAGCTATCATTTCATCAGGTAAATTACTTTAATCTTTTTATAAATGGCAAAAAAATAGCTTTCTCTATCCTTATCTCATCTATTGGCAGTACTATAGACATTTTTTTGTAATACGCTTCACTAAATTCATTAACTTAGGGATAAGATCTAAATTTAATCACCCATAAACACAACATTTTGAGGCTGTTTCTTTGAAACAACGCGTTTGTTTTTGGTTTGACGGGTTTTATGTTTGTCTCGGGTGTAGGTAACATTGCAAATCTATTTGTTTACCTTGAAACTGTTAAATATCAAATTATATCCTCATTCGTGTTTTGAATACAATTATAATTATTTGAAACGTTTGTCGTTGTTGGTGAACCTTACGTAATAATTAATCGTTTAAAAATGGAAAAGGTTCTATTGCTTATGTTTATTCTCATGACAGGTAAGTTAGAAACACAGTTAAAGAACAATCAACATAAATACTTATTATTTAGTAGTTAAATAACGTTGTGGTCTAGAGGTATAGAATTAGGCTGCTAACCCGAAATGTTCATGTTCGTATCCAGTGCTCAAGTCTATAACAAGTCTATCTTCTTCTTCTTCTTCGTTCTTAATTATTAGTGTTGAAGGGGATCGTGATTTATCCGCCAGTGGGTTTGAACTCGAGACTTTGTTCGAATTTATCAACCATTAGCTTTTTGCTTCAACACAATTAAGCGTTACGTGTCAACTGGTTATGCGCCATTGAGGCCATTGACTCCGATTTCAGCCTGCTTTTCTTTTTGGATTTGCTTCCATAGCCTTTGTCCAACCAAGAACAAACTACAAGGCAGCAGTTGTTTAATTTTGGAGTTGTCTCTCCTAGAAGAGTGGCTGTCCCCAGCTAATGAGCCTCATCTGCCCGAGGGTTCGAACTCAATACTTTTCGGTTTAGCAACCATGAGCTTTACCGACTCGACCACGCCGAACCCCTTAACAAGTCTATGATTCCATCCAGCTCTGATGGGTACCTTACTCACATTAGGGAAACAAAGGCGGCTGCGCATATTGCTGACCTCACTATTCCTCATATGCTGAAGTCATTAGAACAGACGAACTCTACTTTATCTGCCACATGCGTCTTGGGAACGAGCGGAAATAGTTGATGAGATGATAATAGTTATAATTTTTTTTTTCAATTTCATGGCTTTTAAAAATTTCATGTTAAATGCAAACACAATGTAATCGATAATTTTTATTATGATTAAATATTTTAAAATAAATATTTATTTTTACGACAGAAAACATGTTTTCGTATTTTAATGACAGAGAGCTGCGTCCAATGTATGACCAAGACTGAGCAATATAAACGCCAAAACCCATCTGCATTGTACATGTCTCCTGTAGACTTAGAACTAATCACAGCAACACGTTTACAATGTGCCAGTAAATGTCTGTCTTTGAACAATTGTTTGAGCTTTTTTTACCACAAAACTTCGAGAAACTGTGTATTAGGCAAGTGTTTCAATTATTTCTTAATATATATTAGAAAGTGTCATTTAAATTAAACTGTTTTTTACAAGCTTTTATTTAACTTGCTTGCTATGTCGTCAGTCTGTCGTCAGTCTGTCGTCAGTCTGTCGTCAGTATGTCGTCAGTCTGTCTTCAGTCTGTCGTCAGTCTGTCGTCAGTCTGACATCAGTTTGTCGTCAGTCTGTCGTCAGTTTGTCGTCAGTCTGTCGTCAGTCTGTCGTCAGTCTGTCGTCAGTCTGTCGTCAGTCTGTCGTCAGTCGGTCATCAGTCTGACGTCAGTCTGTCGACAGTGTGTCGTCAGTCTGTCGTCAGTCGGTCGTCAGTCTGTCGACAGGCTATCTCACGTAATAGATCGAAACGATTAGGGACGAGAGAATGTATTAAATAAATTCGTGATCACTTAGAGATTTAGCTGTTTGAATGATAATTCTATATGCAGTAGTCATCTTTCATTCATCCAATTTGCATCGTAGATTCTAAATACAGATACACGTTGCGTTCATCTATCACATTTAAAAATATATAATCTTATGTTAGGGCTATATTTTTCTTGAAAAATTATAATTTTGTTATCACTATGCAGGACGATGGCTATTTATAGATACGCAAAGTGTGAGTACACTCCCAGCAGGTGGGGAGTTTTACTCAATCAACCCTCCGTGTGACCTGACTCAAGGCTTCCAGACCAGGTCCAGTGGTGACATCACCGTCTGTCTTTACATCTCAGCTGACAAAACAAGTTACACGGACGCCAGAGAGAACTGTCTGGGTACATAGGCCTACTCACACTTTTCTATAGTTTGTTTTCTGTTGGCATGCTACTTATTTGTAATTATTTGTAATTATTTTTTAAAGAGAAAAACCTTACGATAAGAGCTTTCCTAAACATGCGATTAAAATGTATTGATAATGTTAATTATGGTTTAGTAATGATTTCCAATATAAAATACGTATTTACATATTTACTAAAGTGTAAAAATTTACACATTGCTAATTATATATTACCCTTATTTTTTAAATAAAGCTTAGTATATTTTTATGATTAATTGGTAAATTCCATAAAAAAAGCGTATCTACACTTTCTTGAAGCATTTTAACACATTCCATTTAACATTTTCGTCCATCTTGTAGCAAAGAATTCACACTTGTTTACCCCTAAAAACCCCGAGAAACTGACCATTTTTCTAGACATAGCATATACACTGGACGACGGAACCTGGAGTGGAATGAATTGCCTGGAGGTTTTAGAAGTATGGAGATGGGAAGACGATGGGACGGTAATTGATGAGGCATGGAAGATACAGATGTTTTCACCAGGTATCGCACAGTCTCTCTCTCTCTTTCTCTCTCTCTTTCGCTATATATATATATATATATATATATATATATATATATATATATATATATATATATATATATATATATGTATATATATATATATATATATATATATATATATATATATATATATATATATATATATATATATATATATATATATATATATATATATATATATATATATATATATATATATATATATATATATATATATTGTGAGGTGTTCTTTCCCAGGTTTTCCTGACAACTTTGATAACCGTGAACGATGTGGTAACCACGACCCACGCTTTACCCTGCTCAACGACGCCTACTGTCCCCAACTTAATTACTACATCTGTGAAATACCCTGGAAGAAATACATGTAGTAAACATGCATCATATAAGAAATTATTGTTTGGTCAAAATTTTAAGAAATCTTGATGGTTTGTTACTTTCTCGTATATACGAAGTATAGAGAAAGTCTTGTAATCGTGCAAAAAAACAAATCGAGATTTATACAAATCTCGACGTTTTACACCTCACTGATACGGAAAAACATAATTTTGCAATCTTGTCCGTATGTCTGTCTGTCTGTGTGTGTGCGTGTGTGTGTAAACAAGATAACTTGAGTACCGTTTCTGTTAGGTTGATGAAATTTCACATATAAGTATTTTATCAAAATCGTAGATCCTGATCAAATTTTGAGCGATTTCCGATAACCGGAAGTGGTACTTTTTCTACTTTGAATTATTCAAAAGCCTATAACTTGAGTACTATTTCAGATAGATAAATGACATTTCACATGTAAGTGAAGAATCTAATTCTCTACCTCTCTTTCCAATTTTCAGTAATTTCTGTTGACCGGAAGTACTAATTTACGCTATTTCCAATTTCTCAAAAAACGCATGTAAATTTGTAAAGTACTAATAATATTGCGCACTATTATGCACATTTTATTTTGGCGTTCGCTTGGTGCGCAATTCTTTTTTCTATGAGATTC